TAATAATAATAATAATAATAATAATAATAATAATAATAATAATAATAATAATAATAATAATAATAATAATGGGCAGTTCAGTGTGTGGAGCTAAATGCTACTTTTCTTTTGAAATAAGAAAAGTCTTTGTTCACTTTAATATATAACTTTTAAGTAATGGTCTGTAATGAATATCAAACATTTTTAACAGAGGTTAACTACAAATTATACAACAAAGAAGCAACCAATTAAACTCCCATAGAGAAGAAACTTGAGTCCCCAAATCTGAGAAACATAGGATCACTTATTTAACATTGGGCAGACATACCAGAGTAACAGGCAGTTGGATGAGAACCCTCTCTTAAATATTTTTTAACCACAGGGGAAAAAAGAGCTTAATAATTTCCTGCTTTTAGAGGGAAGTCAAGGTAATTTGATTGAATTTCACAGTGAAACGAACAATCCCTTTGGGAGTTTCTGAGGAATAGTAGTGATGTTATACTCTGGCAACATATCAAAAACAGGTTGCCTCAATGCCAAGACTCTATTTTATAGTAACATGAAGTATGTCTGTAACAGACATCAGTCCCAGAGTGAAAGTTATGAGTTTGTCACAGATTTCAGTCTAAAAACTCCTTTTGGCTGTTTTATATATTTTAATGCAATTATAAAAGTGCCATACTTTATACAAAGGATGAAAATTTGGATACTTTTTGACTCTGGTTGCAACTTATAAATGTTGGGTAAGTTCTTGTGAGTTCAACAAGACTTCATTTTCAGTAAATGTGTACAAAAGCTGCTAGACTTATTTACAAGCTGAATATACATTTCAGAGAACTGTCATATAGTTCAATGATATATTTTATGTTCTGGATAATTGCAAAATAGACTACAACAATGCATAATTAAACTCAGATATTTGGTCTCCTGTAGCTCCACAAGATAAAATATAGCTTAGGATTCCTCTTTAGAATGTAATTAATTGTTATAGGAGGGAGATAAACTCAACTCTTCAATACTGCAATTTAATTTTTTATTGCTTAAAGTGCTTTGGCAGTCTTTTCTTTTACTCCTTGAAATCTTTCCATGTAGAAAAGTGAGACAAATTGCAACAAGAAAATACAGTGATAATGAGCAGATAGTCTGCATATGCTCAGAGGCTTTTGTCTTTATTATTCATAGTCAACACAATCCTATACTAAATAAATCAATTTGGATTAATGTGTTTTGTTTTATGAATAGGATGAAGGTACAAATAGCATGGTTTCCAATAAAATTATTTGCAAAACAAAGTGTTCCATTCAAATATAATTTTAATCATGAAATTATCCAATGGCCTTAAGGAGAGCAATGGCTCTTCACAACTTCCTTTACATCAATCTAGTATGCAGGAATAACAGTACTGAATATCTTTTCAAGACTGATGAAATAAATTTGATAAACTAATGCATGTGAAATAATTTTAAAAGTCTCTGAATGATAATTGCATTACTGCCATAGTCTGAAGATTGAACTCTAATACTGTAATTGAAGCTTGAGAGGAATCAATAAATATTGTGTGAATTTAATGTGAAATTGTTTAGTCTGATTATATTCTAACATTACCCTGTCTAGAGGGTAAGGCTCCTGTTTTTGGGGTGGTGGGGGGTGGTGTCACGCCTAGCTTTTGAGCAGAAATTCAATTTGTAAAAAAGAGCTGGTTTTTTTCCCCCAATCTTTTGTCAATTCCTGAATCAACTGCTTGCCCACTAAAATTGAATAAATGGGAAAATCTAGGCATCCATGAAACTGGAATACTCACAGATAAAGATTACTCCATACTTATCCTAGTCAAATCCTTGCTCAAAATCCCTTTTTTTCCCTTTGTGTGAAATCTAACAAAACCCCAGAGGCAGAATCTCCTCTCAGCTTTGCACAGGAGGGAGGCTACTGGTTTCATGCTCTCCAGGAAGCCCAGAAACAGAGCAGGAAAGCAAATAGCTCTTCCCAGCTGCAGCTCTCTAGTATCTGGTCTGATTTTTTTAAAAAAATCTTCATTACGGAAAAGAGTAATCTTCTCTGAAAGCTGTCTGAACTAGTGATCATAATCATTTTTTTTCCAGTTTCACAAACGAAATACAGTGCGAAGGGGGATTTTCTCTAGACTTGTTGTTTAGAGTTGGTCTATGCCAGATATTATGAAAAGGAGAAAAAATGTCTGTCAAATTCCCCATTCCATACCAAGTTTTTGTATATGTATGCCCTGTCTTCTTCCCCTTATATATTTGCTTGGGAGTAAGATTCACTAAACTGAGAGGGACTTCGGAGTAACCCTTTTGCAACAGCATGCAAAATAGCAAAGCAAATAATACCCTTCCCCCATCACTGTCCACATCACCCTTGCTGTCAAGGCGCTAGCATCTCTCCCCTTCCCTAGCAATGAAAATAGTGATAATAAATTCACATTCCCGATGGTTTGCTAGCACCCACCCACCCCCACTTCTGACTCGCCAAATTAGCTCCCCGGGTATGGCCACTTCTTTCCCTGCACAACGGTTTAGTTCTGAATAATCTAGAATTGTTTTTAAAATCATAGCGCCTTTCCACAGAAGTAGGGAAAAGGACTTCGAGCAATTTCGTACGACTGCTGCGCAAAGCAACCTTTGCATTGCCGACAATAACATGGCAGATTAATTATCCCTGCCACTATTATTAACATTATCAACCCGAGGCGGGTTCCCCCGAGCAACCACCCCACAGACCGTGATTTGACAGTCACCTGTCAAGAGCAGGAGCAACGGCTATGAACCAGGAATCCTGACAAGGAGGAGGGAGGGAGGCAGGCAGGCAAGCGGGCAGGCAGGCAGGCAGGCAAGCAAGCGACTGCACCACAAGGCGAGTGAGCCGTACTCCCACCTCCTCCTCCTCCTCCTCCTCCTCCTCAACTTCTCCCCAACCCATTGCTGTTCTTCCCCGCCCTGCTCGCAGCGGCACGTCTCCTAGGCAGCCTTGGCATGAAACCGCCTCATCATTCGACGGGATGGGCAAAGAAAGCAAAGCTGCGTCATCGCTCCACCAGCATCTGGTAAATTCCCTTGGAAACCCCGCGACTTGAAGGTCCCGCCTCCTTCAAATCGATTAGGGTAGAGGCTCATGGGAATGGTAGTTTAATTCCCCTGCATTAAGGAGCCTCAGAGGAACTTATAGTCCCTGGGGTGTTATGCGCGCCCAGCCGGCTTTTACCCGCCTTCTTTCCGCTGTTGCTTCGGAGACGCTCTATGAAGGTGGCTTCAGGCGCTTCTCATGAGAATGACTTGGTAATCAGCGAGGGATTCAAAAGCTCAGAGATTCAAAGCCGAGCGGATACGAGCTCACAAATCTGGACAACTATTAAATTGCAGCACCACCAGTTTCGATATCGTTTTGCTGCCATCTAATGTTTGACCTGGATTTTGCAACCAGGTTTTATTTAGCCTTTAATAAAATTATAACCAGGTATTATGTAAGGTGCAAGCAAGACTACAGAACACAGAGTAACAGGGTTGAAAGGGACTTTGGAAGTCTTCTAGTCTAATCCCCTGGTTGAGCAGGAGAATTTCTAATATTCCAGACTATCTCTTCTTGAAAACCTCCAGTGTTGGACCACCCACAACATTTGCAGGCAAGTGTCTACTCAGGTGACCTGACACACAGATAAACCTCCAGGTCGCCTTAACAACTTGCAAAAAATGCAAATCACCAGCTGTCCACAAGGAGTATATATCAGGAGTGAAATTCAGCAGGTTTTGACCGGTTCTGGAGAATCAGTAGGGGAAATTTTGAGTAGTACAGGCAATTGGCAAATACTACCTCTGGCTGGCCCCAGAGTGGGGTGGGAATGGAGATTTTGTAGTATCCTTCCCCTACCATGCCCACAAACCTGGTAGTAAAAAAATTTGAATTTCACCACTGGTATAAATCCTTCCATTCCTGTCTAAGCTGAAGAAGTTTCTTGGATGAGAAGCTAAATGTCTTCAAAGAAAAACCAGAAAATCCAAAAAGCACTTTTGGGACATTCTGAAGGCAAGCCATTCCTCTGATTGTTCTCACTGTAAGGAAATTTCTCCTTAGTTCTAAGTTGGCTCTTTTTTAATGATCTTCCACCCGTTACTTTTTGTCTTGCCTTCGGGTATTTTGGAGAATAGGTCCAGCGCCCTCTTCTCTGTGACAGCCCCTCAAATACTGGAAGACTGCTATCATGTCACTCTTAGTTCTCCTCTTCATTAGATTAGATGTATCTAGTACCCTCAATGGTTCATCTTTGCTTTGGGGGGAAATCTGCCATCAAACTTTGCTTACATTTGTCACTATTATTGTATTATTAATTGAATCCTTAGAAAACCAATATTCATTTCCTCTTCATTCTCCCAGTTTGATAACTATAGGCAGGGATTTGCAACAAAACAAACATCAAAACTACTGTCTCTCCAATTTCTTTTGTAAGCAAGTATATTTTTCTGTTTTACATCATCTTCCTATATATGCCACAACTAGAAATGTTTGAGTTTCCTTTACAATTTATCCTTAATAGATATCCTTGTTTAGAAACCTGTTTTGCAGTTCTTGTGTAAATAAAGAATATAAATAAATTTAAAAATGTAAATAAATCCTCAAAACTTTAACCTTAAACTGTCTACAATGGACCTCACCCCATTCCTAAGAGGTCTGTAAGGGGCGTGCATAAGCGCACCGTTGTGCTTACCATCCCTGCCCTACTGTCCCCATTTATTCGTACCCATTTCATTCATACTCATGTTTATTCTTATACCTATTATCTTGTAAACGATTAACAAATCAAATAAATAAACGTATTTAAGGGTTCTACAGTGTTTTGTATTTAGTACTGTTTGCATTACCGGTGTTCAATAGAACTTACTCCAGTAAATAACCTTCAGATTGCAGCAGATTTATGATGCAATCCTACACCTTTCAATTTAACAGGCATGTAATCTCAGTTTAGTGTATGAAAGACTGCAATCTTAATTCCTGTCACTTTATGAATGCTTTGAGCTTGTGCTTTGAGTGTTACTAAAAGTAACATTTTTAGAATAGATACACAAGAATACAGTTCTTTATGTGCCCAGTGATTGATGTTTGTGCTATGTATCAGACATAAATATATTCAAATTTGAGTAAAGAATGCTGTTTCCACATATGATAACAGATATACAAAACGTGTTGTTTTTTTAATCCAAGAAAGATAATATATTACAAGTGATTTGGTTCTTGGGACCAAAAATTGCCAAGAACTCTGAACATAAACCATCATAACTGCAGAAGCATGGATACATGCTTGGGCATATTCAGTTAATTAACTACAGATTCTTCAGGGGTAATAAAGTTACAATTTGCATGGATCTTGTTTTTCAGTAAACAAATATTTGGGGTGCAATAAGTGTATACACATTGTATTTCCAAGTCAAATTTCCAGTTTCAAAAGTGCATTTGTCAGTGCATTCAAAAGAAATTTAGTTGGGTTAAGGAATTAACTTCAGCACAATTCTATACCTTTGTATTCAGATGCATGCCAGTTTTATATGCTTGTCAGATGAACCAATATTTTATTACTGTAATGATTTGTTGTGATCTGATTTCATAAGACTTTAGGCATGGATATAAGAGGTTCGCAAATTAAATATATAGTACTGATGAATTTCCACATTAGCCTTCTAAATTAGGAGGTTTCTGTAATATGAAAATTAAAGGCCTGATCACTCACCCTTTTCCCAATATTAAGGTCCCTATATCTGTGGGTCAGTGACTAAGGTGCTGAGCTTGTCAATCAGAAAGGTCGGCAGTTCGGCGGTTTGAATCCCTAGCACCACATAATGAAGTGAGTTTCCATTACTTGTCCCAGCTTCTGCCAACTAGCAGTTCAAAAGCATGTAAAAATGCAAGTAGAAAAATAGGGACCACCTTTGGTGGGAAGGTAACAGCGTTCCATGTGCCTTCGGTGTTTAGTCATGCCGGCCACATGACCACAGAGATGTCTTCAGACAGTGCTGGCAATTCAGCTTTGAAATGGAAATGAATACTGCCTCCAAGAGTTGTGAACGACTAGCAATAATGTGCGAGGGGAACCTTTACCTTTATCTGTGCTGCAAAAATCCAAATAATGACTAGATTGCAATTCAGAGTTGCTGTATTTTAGCTACATTTAGTGGTGATCAGGAGTTTTGCAATCCAGGTATGGGAACCCTGTTCCATACAGATCTTATGGTAAAACCTTTTGAGATTGGTTGTTGCTAAGGTTACATTTTCTATAAACAGCAACAAACCTTTTGAAGCAATGTTGCTTTGTCTTTACAATTTTTTTTTCTGTTTTGGTAATGCTCCAGAATAACAGTGGAAGATGCAAAATACAAAAGGTGTTGCTATTTATTCAGTGTTTTTTCTTAGTCAATGATTATGGGTAGGAATGTGAAACAGTTACCGGTACATCTTTTTCTGTGAAAGCGACCAGTAATCTGACAAAGGTTGTTTATATAATACTATTTTATCTGTAGAAATCAAGTAGTTACTTTATCAGAGAATGAAGTATTTAGTCTCTGTGAGGAGTATCAAGTTTGGGTTCAAAAATATTTTTATGGTTCCCTGAGCACTTCTACGGGGGCTTTAGGGTTTAATATTGTCATGTGCTAACTAATCTGGCAGAAACTCAAGTTCTGCACCAGTATAATTTTGCTGATAGAAGGGGTGAAAATAGCTGCCAAAATCTGTGGCCAAAATTAATTTGAGCACCAGATTTTCTGTCACATCTCTGCTTCTGCACTACTGTAACTTTAAAGTCTAAATATGAAAAAAGGCACTTCTAATAAATCTAATCAGCCAACACTTCTCCATACCCAGCCCATATTACTGCAGTGCAGAGTTAATTCCATCACTGCAACTAACTAATATAGAAATCTCTGGGAAGAAATCACCAATAAGGCATGCAGGAAAAATCTTTCCCCAATGTCAGAGAAACTATATGGTATGTTAAATGTTCAGGATTTAAAATGACTTTCTAGCTAACCAAAGATAACTGCAACAGGGAAGATAATGAACTACATCAGAATCATATTGAATGTGGAAGGATGTTTTATTTTTATTTTCCTGCTTTTTGGTTCAGACAAATTTTATGTCCCCACTTCCCTACTTGCAATCTGTCTCAGAAAGAAATGGTTATTGCCTGCAGTATATCATCTGTTCCTTAGACCCCCTAAGGCCAATATGATGTTGAGAGAAATAATGGGGTATTTTGCTCAAAAAGGGAGCATGATATCTAAATACTGTCCTCTGAAGGAAAAGCAGATTGTGTCTCCTCAGGACCTTTATAGATACCTTGCCTCAAGACTCCAGGCACAAGTGGCCAACAAGGGTAGTTGCAACTGGAGATAAAATTAGTGTGAAACATTCCATAGTCACTGTTGTTGGGTGGAAACCCACATTTCCAAACACGCTGCTGCAAATATTTGATCTTCTTCCATTCTACTATCAGAAATGAAAAAGTGAGTATGTTTACACTTCAACATATTGTTTCTTTAACCACAAGTTACTAAGTTTCAGTTGCCTTTGTTTACCAGAGGCACCAAACTCCATTAGTCTACAAACTACAGTGGCTGAATTCACAGTATTACATACTGTATACTAATTTGTTTATACCTTATTTATAGCTCAATGTATTGCATGACCTGAGTAGGGTCAGATAACTTTAGGAATATAGCAGAATTGTAATCTAGATTGTGATGTTGGGGGAAAAAAATTCTTGAAGAAAGCAATGGTAAGCCACTCACTTATGTGGTTATCATGCACTGAAGTTCATTTAAAAGTCTTCCCTTTATGTTTTGAAATTTTATCTTGGCTGAACTTTTATTGATAAAAA